TCAACTTATTTTGACCTCTATCACAAATCACAAGTGGTAGCTCTGTGTCCGAGCAATTTTGGGATACCCTTTATATCGTGATGGATGCATTGCATCATGATTTCAAAATAAGTAATGTCGTTAAATGAAAATGTTTCTATTGAATTGATAACTATAGGTACGTATCTTATCAGAATATCAATAATTATTATTAGAATTCTTAGTAGTATGGAAGTAATATATTTATTCTCCGATGAGTAATAAATATCAACAGATATTTTTTTTTCAATCCAATATTACTTCCAAATCAAATGGAAACAATGGAACGAGCTTTTGGCAAGTATTTTTTGATGCGATAGGAATAATTTCGATATGGTTGTAATAGGCAAATTGTTCGATTTTCAATTACGCATCGAATGACATGAAAATATACATATACGAGTGCCCCAATTTGAAATGAGGAAGATACAGTGCTTTGAAATTAGAAGAGTTTGCAACTAAATTTTGAACACCCTGTGATGATTCGTACATTTTCTGATTCCAATAACAAGGCAGTGTCTTTTTGTTATTGATTTTTTGAAACCAGTAGTGCGGAATTATTTTTTTTTCCTTCTCAAGGTGCAAACTGTGTTTCTACTACCAAGGTAGTGTTTTTCATTTCATAAAGTACTACTCAATATGACATGGCCAGTTCAGTTATAATTAACCCGAATTCACTTTTCTGATGCGATATTCTCAGGAATGGCACTCGAATCTAGTAGGAATTTGTTAATATCGACTTGTCATTATGCTGTCATCGTCATGACTACAGTGAGAAAAAATAACACGCAGTTCACACAAGCTCACACCCTTGGGTGTCCCCTGGGGTCCTGATTATTTTAGTGAGAATTAACACTGATATTTTCACCACCATCGTAGGGTGTCATTCGTTCTTACATACGAACTAGTGTAATGACCCCAAAGAAGTGTAATGACCCCAAAGAATTTTCAGACATAAGACCTATCAGCATTCTACCTACCCTATCTAAAGCTTTTGAAATGGTTATCAAGGAGCAGGTCACGACTTTTGCCTGTGAGAAAAATTTATTAACTGATGTTCAGTCGGGTTTTCGCCCACACTACAGCACTACCACAGCTTTGAGTCAAATAACAGATGATATTTTCAAATCTCTCGATAATGGTCATTTCACTTGCCTTATCTTGCTTGATTATAGCAAAGCCTTTGATACTCTCGATTCAGCTGTTCTGTGCAAGAAATTAACGTGTTTTGGCCTCTCAGGTAGCGCAGTGTCCCTGTTGCGTAGTTATCTATCAGATAGGACTCAAAGTGTTATTATCGAAGAAAATCAATCTACCACTCTCGTGAAACCTTTTGGAGTACCTCAGGGATCTGTACTGGGACCGCTCCTGTTTGCGCTATATATAAGTGATTTTCATGAACACATAAGGTATGGCAATATACATCATTACGCTGACGATACACAATTATATAGATCTTTCAGTTTTGATGACTTAAAACATGCTGAAGTTGGAATCAATGAAAATCTTCAACTATTGTTCGAAGTTTCGTGTGCCCACAACTTGAAACTGAACCCTAAGAAATCCCAAGTCATGCTTTTTGGTCCAAGAACTAAGAAACATATTGTGAGTGACACTATTTCTATTCGTATTGACGGCAACGTCATACCATTTGTGGATGAATGCAAGAATCTGGGATTATATCTTGATACTAATATGAGATTCACTAAACATGTAAACCACTTATGTAGATTATCTTTCAATATCCTGAGACAGTTATATCCTAGTAGGGACCTGATTTCAAAAAATATGAAGTTGAGACTGTGTGAATCTCTCATTTTTTCGAGACTGTCCTACTGTGACTGTATTTATGGTCCTGCCCTACTAGATACAGATGCTACAAGGCTACAGAGGATACAAAATAGCTGCATACGATTTTCATACGGCATCCGTAAGTATGACCATATTAGTACATCCTTCCAAGATTCAGGTTGGCTGAAATTGAAGCTGTGCAGGGAGATGCATATGCTAACTTTCACCCATAAAACATTGAAAACTGGATACCCGCCTTACCTACGTAGAAAATTGGTCCCACTTTCACGTAATAATTCCTCCCGTAACAAACATATTCTACTCATTCCCAAACACCACACAGCACAATTCACCCGTTGCTTCTCTTATAATGCTTCTAAATCATATAATACCCTTCCCTCAGAAATAAAGGAATTCACTTTAAAAAATTTCAAGAAGAGATTGAAAGCATTGTTTCTTACAAGGGAATGATATAATGGTTACAAAGCTAGTTTCTCTCCAGGCGTGACGATATGTTATGTATGCATTACTTGGTTTACCATCTTCATTGATATTATCAACTTGTTTTTACGATTATTATCATCATTGTTTTCATCACTATTATCACCATTATTAATATATTTATATTCTAATCGCATTTTACTGTTAGTATAGCATATATGATTATGATCATTATTATTTTGGTTAAACTTTATGTTATTATTACCTACTCATCTTTTTTTTTCTTCTTGAGGATGGGTTTAAAAGCAGCTTTGATAGCTGAACCTCTCCTTTTCATCATCTTAATGTATTATATTTCTAATTTGTTTGTGTAATTTCCTTATTGATGATGAATAAAGACACATTATTATTATTATTATTATTATTATTATTATTATTAACTACACTACATACAGTAAATAGTGCTAATTTGATCGGTTCCTGTTATTCAACACCAAAGGTGATTATTTTAACACTGTATCCGTTGCGTTTCTGCTTCTACTGAAAATATTATGATATGCGAATATTTTTCGGGTATTTTCGTGTATTTTTCGGGTATTGTTCTGTTGTGAAAACACACTTATTGAGTGTATTCAGGCTGAGAAGCGGTGCTTCCTTGTCTGCATCTGAGTGTTGAATAACACGACTCTGCGAGCGACTCTGATATATTCAGTGTATGAAATGATCCAATGTAGTTAGAGTTGAGACATTACAAAACATCTATGAGCTGATACTATTTGAAGGCTGTCGAGAGACAAGCGTCGAAGGAGCGCTAGTGTCGCCATATATCAAGATATCTACTCAATATTTTTCTGTGCACGAAATGTATACTTTCATATCCAATTTTATGTTTCAATCTGGTTCGATATAAGTACTCTATATGTATATAGCTTCGCAATCTCAAAATCATGATATATTATTAATGAATCAACTCAAAATGTATTCAATGCATTATTTTCACGAAATCATCCGTTCAAATTGTGACCTATAAATCTGGATACCAGAATCTGTGGAATTTGGTAAATTCTAACTCCAATAAATATCCTGACAGTTCGAGGGCCTTGAAGACATTGTACTAGCAATTTTTATGTTAAATATTACCCAATTAATAACTAAATGCCCACTAGGACCATGAAGTTATGTTTGAAGTATGTAATGAGTAGTTTCCAACTACGCTATTTGCCTATAAAGATGATGGTTTTTATAGAAGATGTTGAGGTCCTAATCATGCATTTTACAACCTAATCCATAAATTTCTAGTTACTCAGGGCATGAAATTGAAATATTCTGTCGAAAATTAGTGAATTTTAGTGGTGCCCGCGAGAGTCTCGTTTTCGAGAGTCTCTCATGGTCTCGTCTCGTTTTCGAGACAAGACTCGAGACGAAACTCGGACAAGGTGAGACGAGACTTTTATTGGTCTCGTCTCGAGTCTCGTGCAAGATTTCTCGTGTCTCGTGCGAGAGTCTCGCAGGTGAATATTTCTGCGTACCGACTGAAAACTTGAGAATTTCATTCATAATACAACATATTATGCAGAAAGAACTCAGACTTTTTCGCACAGATAGTCAGAACATTGCATTCATAAATACTTTAAGAACACAATCCATGATTGTTGTAAAACGACGTAATGCGTGAAACAAAAACGGACTATTCTCTCTCTTACGGCGGAATAATGTTGAATTAAAGTTTTTGTTTTGTTTATTTGTTTTGAACATACGTGTGACTTATTGATTTTATTATCATTACTTTCGAATATATCATGCTGTTTTTTTCTTGTTCAGATGAATGATGTAGATATGTACCTTAGGTACTTACTTTTCAGTAAATAATGTTATTTTTGTTGTAATTTTCTCTTCCCACTTCTACGAATCTACGTTATGCCTAAAAAGTAGGTAAAGGTAAATATCCCGTACTAGACTGGAACAAGATTATGCATGACGAAATTGCGATACTTTTGCGAGACTCTCGTACGAGACGCGAGACAAGACGAGACTCGAAGCTGCGAGACGAGACTCGAGACAAGACTTCATATTTCATCGGCGAGACGAGACGAGACTTTATGAAAGTCTCGTCTCGTTAGTCTCGTGTGAATCACTAGTGAATTTCGACTTCTTCAAATAACTTTTCCTCTCTGCTTGGTATAATGCTCTCAAAATGTTGGTTGGATTATGATATTCTTCATCACCCAATTCAGTTTCTGATTGAGATTGAAATTCCAACACCTTTTTCCTCTCCCTGTCCTCCATACATACGCACGATGTTTTCCGAGCATTATAGGAATTCCCTTTGGTGCGCTCCAAGCGATAAATAAAATAAAGGTGATGAGTATCATTAGATCGATTCTGTTTCTCACCCTGGAGTTCATGCATCCTTCTTCAGATTTTTTTCCGTTTCCAGTTCTAACTTGTTCGCCTCTGCGCAAACTTTGCGGGAGCAAGAAAGAGGAGAGAGAGGTGTAAAAACGACGAAACACTCGAGCGCCGAAAATTAATACCGGCGATGATTAAAAAATCTGCATACCCTCGTCGACGCTGCGGCGTCGGAAGCGAACAGTTGCTTGTTTCAGAGCCGCCTTGGGAACAAAGGGCGCCTCCGATTGTAAAACGACACATGAAGTTGAACATCATTGCAACTGTTCGACATTTGTTGCGAGGAAATCCGATGAGAGTTAATGAAAAAATGTGTTGTTATTCATGTGTGAACATCAGCGATGATTGTCTTCGATTTTGTGTTGTGAGTCCAAGGATTCCAAATTATGGGAAAAGCAGAAATACCACAATGGAATACATCTACATGACATTTCCTTTTCGTTTTCACTACAGCAGCAGATAACAAACTTGACGTCCTAAGTTGACATCATGATGACGTGAACAATTCGAGGTTGTCTGCGTATGATAAAAGACACATGAAGTTAAACATTGCAACTGTTCAACATTTATTGCGAAGAAATCCGATGAGAGTTGATGAAAGAAAGTGTTGTGACTCATGTGTAAACATCAGCGATGATTGTCTTCGATTTTTTGTTGTTAATCCAAGGATTCCAAATTGAGGAAAGAGCAGAAATGCCACGATGGAATACATCTACATGACATTCCATTATCGTTTTTACTACAGCAGCAGATAACAAACTTGACGTCCTAAGTTGACATCATAATGACGTGAACAATTCGACGTTGTCTCCGTATGAAGAAAGACACATGAAGTTGAACATTGCAACTGTTCAACATTTGTTGCGAAGAAATCCGATGAGAGTTGATGAAAGGCAGTGTTGTGACTCATGTGTAAACATCAGCGATGATTGTCTTCGATTTTTCGTTGTTAATCCAAGGATTCCAAATTGAGGAAAGAGCAGAAATGCCACAATGGAATACATCTACATGACATTCCATTATCGTTTTTACTACAGCAGCAGATAACAAACTTGACGTCCTAAGTTGACATCATAATGACGTGAACGATCGAGGTTGTCTCTTTATGAAAAAAGACACATGAAGTTGAACATTGCAACTGTTCAACATTTGATTCAAGGAAATCCGATGAGAGTTGATGAAAGAAAGTGTTGTGACCCATGTGTAAACATCAGCGATGATTGTCTTCGATTTTTTGTTGTGCATGTAAGGATTCCAGATTGAGGAAAAAGCAGGAATGCCACAATGGAATACATCTACATGACATTCCATGATCGTTTTCACTACAGGAGCAGATAACAAACTTGACGTCCTAAGTCGACATCATAATGACGTGAACAATTCGAGGTTGTCTCCGTATAAAAAAAGACACATGAAGTTGAACTTCATTGCAACTGTCCGACATTTGTTGCGAGCAAATCCAATGAAACTTAATGAAAAAGGGTGTTGTTATTCATGTGTGAACATCAGCGATGATTGTCTTCGATTTTTTGTTGTGGATCCAAGGATTACAAATCGAGGAAAGAGCAGAACTGCCACAATGGAATACATTTACATGACATTCCATGATCGTTCTCACTACAGCAGCAGATAACAAACTTAACGTCCTAAGTTGACATCATAATGACGTGAACAACTCGATGTTGTCTCCGTATGAAAAAAAGACACATGAAGTTAAACATTGCAACTGTTCAACATTTGTTGCGAGGAAATCCGATGAGAGTTGATGAAAAAAAAAGAGTTGTTACTCATGTGTCATGTGTAAACATCAGCGATGATTGTCTCCGATTTTTTGTTGTGATTCCAAGGATTCCAAATTGAGGATAAAGCAGAAATGCCACGATGGAATACATCTACATGACATTACATTGTCGTTTTTACTACAGCAGCAGATAACAAACTTGACGTCCTAAGTTGACATCATAATGACGTGAACGATTCGAGGTTGTCTCCGTATGAAAGAAGACACATGAAGTTGAACATTGCAACTGTTCAACATTTGTTGCGGGGAAATCCGATGACAGTTGATGAAAAAAAGTGTTTTGACACATGTGTGAACATCAGCGATGATTGTCTTCGATTTTTTGTTGTGCATCCAAGGATTCCAAATTGAGGAAAGAGCAGGAATGCCACAATGGAATATATCTACATGAAATTCCATAATCGTTTTCACTACAGGAGCAGATAACAAACTTGACGTCCTAAGTCGACATCATAATGACGTGAACAATTCGAGGTTGTCTCCGTATAAAAAAAAAAACATGAAGTTGAACTTCATTGCAACTGTTCGACATTTGTTGCGAAAGTGTTGTTATTCATGTGTGAACATGAGCGATGATTGTCTTCGATTTCTTGTTGTGAATCCAAGGATTACAAATTGAGGAAAGAGCAGAAATGCCACAATGGAATACATCTACATGACATTCCATGATCGTTTTCACTACAGCAGCAGATAACAAACTTAACGTCCTAAGTTGACATCATAATGACGTGAACAACTCGATGTTGTCTCCGTATGAAAAAAAGACACATGAAGTTAAACATTGCAACTGTTCAACATTTGTTGCGAGGAAATCCGATGAGAGTTGATGAAAAAAAAAGAGTTGTTACTCATGTGTCATGTGTAAACATCAGCGATGATTGTCTTCGATTTTTTGTTGTGAATCCAAGGATTCCAAATTGAGGATAAAGCAGAAATGCCACGATGGAATACATCTACATGACATTACATTGTCGTTTTTACTACAGCAGCAGATAACAAACTTGACGTCCTAAGTTGACATCATAATGACGTGAACGATTCGAGGTTGTCTCCGTATGAAAGAAGACACATGAAGTTGAACATTGCAACTGTTCAACATTTGTTGCGGGGAAATCCGATGACAGTTGATGAAAAAAAGTGTTTTGACACATGTGTGAACATCAGCGATGATTGTCTTCGATTTTTTGTTGTGCATCCAAGGATTCCATATTGAGGAAAGAGCAGGAATGCCACAATGGAATATATCTACATGAAATTCCATAATCGTTTTCACTACAGGAGCAGATAACAAACTTGACGTCCTAAGTCGACATCATAATGACGTGAACAATTCGAGGTTGTCTCCGTATAAAAAAAGACACATGAAGTTGAACTTCATTGCAACTGTTCGACATTTGTTGCGAAAGTGTTGTTATTCATGTGTGAACATGAGCGATGATTGTCTTCGATTTCTTGTTGTGAATCCAAGGATTACAAATTGAGGAAAGAGCAGAAATGCCACAATGGAATACATCTACATGACATTCCATGATCGTTTTCACTACAGCAGCAGATAACAGACTTGACGTCCTAAGTTGACATCATAATGACGTGAACATTTCGAGGGCGTCTCTGCATGTAAAAAGGCACATGAAGTTGAACATTACAGCTTTTCAACATTTGTTGCAAGGAAATCTGATGAGAGTTAATGAAAAAAAATTTTGTTATCCATGTGTGAACATCATCGACGATTGTTTTCGATTTTTTGTTGTGAATCGAAGGATTCCAAATGAAGGAAAGAACAAAAATGCCACATTGAAATACATCTAGATGACATTACATCATCGTTTTCATTACAACAGGATACTAACTAACTTGACCTCCTAAGTTGACATCATATGACGTGACAAAGTCAAGGGCGCCTTTACATGTAAAACGACACTTTGCAAGTGCTCCACATTATAGCGACCAATTTCGAAGAGATTCAATGGCAGAAAGGACGAAATGTCAGTGCAGAAACCTCACTTGTTATTCATGATGAAGATCAATGATTGTCTTCGATTTTTCATTGTGAGTTAAAGGATTGCAAATGGAGGATAGAACGGAGATATCAGAAAGGAATACATCTAGATAACATTTCATCATCTTTGTTACTTCAGCAGAAGATAAATATGAGTTGACATAATATCACAGTCACAGTCACAGGCCATTCATGTAATATGACTTTGCTTTGTTTACGTCATCGACTCACCTGAGCATGTATAGTGTCACGTGATAATTAAAGGATTTGAAATATAATATATCACTACCAGATTCAGCAAAAACTAGGTTGAGAATTTTCAATGGAACCCTGTAGATATTTTGACGCCATTTGATAGAGTATGAAATTCCTTTTTCATTACATATCACGAGTGAACATTTGAAGAAAATTTTGATCATGCAAAAAGCAGATGAACAAAGAACTTTGATAGGTTTTTAATTCATTGCCATTCAGGATTGCTTTTAGTAACTCTTTCAAACAACATTCTCCCTCTAGAATTTCCTTCAGAACTCTGAATAGAAATTGGTAAATACTATTTTCAAATTATCAGTATTTTCATCTATAGATCGACGCTCGACCCAGTATACGCCTAATAATAAGAGTATTGAAAAAGTATGATCACCTACATTAATTTTCAGATCAGTTGCAGACTCTATTGCTCTTTCAGATGAAGGAGGTATTCCTGTTAGAATTCCGTAAAACGAACCGTTTCCCAGAAAACTGTCATTTTTCATGTTGGTGTCCCAAAAAAGTTCATATTGAGCGCGTGAGCTCTCATTATGAGAAAAATAGATCTTGATAATTGAAACTTTACAATTCCACTCAGTTCTGATTTATGAGAGTTCATCGTGTTGTAGATTTGTTGAGATTATATCTCTCTTATTTTCATGTGTAAAATCACCTTCAGAAGTAAATGAACGTTATTCTGGGACACCCGTTATAACTGATAACATCAGTTTGACACATATGATGTATACAATCTTTTAGTGCAATCCGTGTGCAAATCTGACAAAATTATTATAAACAAGATGACACTATACTATGGACACCGGCAGGAGGGTGCAAGGGGCGAACTTGCACTTTCTTGTCGGGAAAAGAATACATGGAAAAAATTGGGATTTTGTTTATTGAGTTACTGTACCAATAGCGGACCACCTGAGGATGCGGGACTCAGGAAACTGGGCAAGTGAAGGGACAATAACAGGACATGCAAAAATAGCAGAGTGGGTGGTGCAGGAGACTCCTATCTCTACTCTCAGAGTGAATAAAGTGCAGGACAGGCTGGGATGGAATAGAAAGTTCAAACTTTCTATTTCAAGCAGAAAAGAATGGGGAAACAATACAGTGAAGTTTCGCCCAGTAAGCTTAGTATGTTACACAGACGGATCCCGTCTGACTGACAAACAGGCCTCGGGCGCAGGGATCTATCTCGAAGCGAGAAACATACGAGAAAGCTACGCTCTAGGGAAATACACCACAGTTTTCCAAGCTAAGGTGCTCGCCATCCTGGTCGTAGCAGAGAGGCAAGAGGTGAAAGAGGGAC